TTGTAAATTTTGGGCGCATTCGAGTAAGGAGGTCTTTTGATGATGGGAAACCCCTGGCTGTTAAATACATTCGACTTCACGCAGAAGTTGATCTCACAATCTTCGTCAATGGCTCCCAAATGTTGAGAATAACCAATTGGACAGGTTTTGGGCCATACCGACGGACTAGACTGTTCCACGAACAACTCCAGGCTTGAGTGACCTGCAAAGTAACAAAGGGTAAAACGGATAACCAAACAACTAAAGGAAGATTTAGATGGGTAACCGCTGTCTTTACCTGTCTCTGTGTTCGATGATAGAGAACGCGGTCCTTAGTCAGATATGAGCAAGACTAACTGAGACATTTATTAACGGCGATTAACGAACGCGAATGATAAAGATTTTAAGGCATTGGTCTAGCCACCTCGCAGCAGGGGGCGAGAATGAATGACATCATTGCTAAGCCATGTTCAGGCTTTACAGCGAAAGAGAAAGAGCTTGAGAGCGATGTCGGCTTTGTTCCTCGAACAAACAAATTTCGCGAACGATCTCTTTCACTACGATCTCATCACAGCCTGTGATATACTGTATATCGCTAGATGTCAACAAGCATTTCCCTTATGTAGGTTCTGTCAACATTTACTTCCGCTGTTGCTTTATTTTCTGCACGGATACTTTTATCTGTCGGCACGAGATGGCTTCTGAATTTATGCAACTCGAAAGCACACGAAACTTTCTCGCTCATATTTGTTTTCGTTCTCATGAACTCGGTAATATTCACCCGTGTTCTAAAGGTCGGGTATGAAAAGAAGTGTCGTACGTTTTCACCAAGCTGGAAGAAAAAAAAAAAGTTATCGGATCACACTGATAAGGAAGTTATAGGTAACGCGACACAATCAAAGAAGCTGGAAATTACTTGAATGGAACAAAGTTTTAAGGGAAAATATGTAATAAAAGGTAAGCGAAAGAAACAACCTTACCAACGTTGGAAAACAAAGCGGCCCGAAAATTGTTAATGAGCTGTAGGTCGGCTGTTTGGTAATTGAAACCAAAATGCTAAGCTCCACATTCATCATGCCTGTAAAGCTTTCTAGAGGTCCTTTCATATAACTTTGCAACAAAACGATACATTGAGAGAACCCGGGCCTCGATAGACACAACTTTTTCAGAATTGTAACCATGAAAAAGCAAGAATAGAGTGCGCGTGC